GACTCCGCCGTTCGACCTCCTCCTCTAAAATTACCCCGCTGAACATCCTAAATACGGAACTGCCCAATTCCGTATCAAGAACTGTGGGTTGTATAGTGTAGAGGTTATCACCCGAGATTCTGATTCTCGTGACCCCGGTTCGAGTCCGGGTACGACCTAGTATCGATTTTGGCTGTAGCGCACTGTAACGGCGGCCCAAGTTGCCGTGTGAGACGGTGATATGCGTTAAGCGAAACAAGACCGGCCACCCTGACTACCGTATGGGGAACAATAAGGCTGTGCCGCATGGCTGGTTTTCGTGCTAAGGGCCTCCAACCAACCAAAATCCCGGCTTGACGATGGGAGCATGAACCAGTCATCATCAGAAACAACGGCGAGTGGCATCTGCAACCGGAACTGCGACTGTTAACTCTAACGCGACGACAAAATAGGATTGTTCACTAGTAGCTGCAGTAGCTGCAGCTACTAGTGAACCCTGACATACACTTTCTGGTGGGACACAGGGATGGCGCAGAATTTGTTCAGCGGGGTTTTGTCTGGTGCTCACGCGTACAGCGGCTGGGTCACCGACGAGGCGGCGAGCTGGGGGATCACTTTGCGAATATATTGGGATATCCAACGGATTACCCATACATGGGATGCGCGGCGTCGTATGAAGGGGTAGGAGCTATAGTGTGCAATTTTTCGTGGTGCCCGCAGGTATAATTTGGTTTAGTGGGAGGAACAGAAGAAAGAAAGAGCCACGAGGGTCATAAGAGTAGGAGTGTGTACAAGGGGCATAATGGAAGAAGGCTGATTTGTGAGAGTGACAGCAGCCAAGAAGAACAATTTTAATTTGAAGGCAAAATTAGGCTTGAGCTGGCTTTTGACACAAAACTCTTTACGAAGAACAGACATAGACTAGAGTCAGCCGCGAAATACACGAACGCACGCACTCCCGCAATGAAGCCCGCTGCCATCCTCGCCCTTCTTGCTGCTGCCGCCTCGGTTGTGTCGGCCGCAAAGAAGTGTGCCCCGGCCGTGAGTCGCCCCCGCCCACCCCACATCGCTCCGTGCACTTGTCACTCACTGAACCTCCCTCCGCCTACTGACACACCCACTTCGTTCTGGGTCCCAGTACGAGGTCACTGTTGACGCAGTCAGCACCGCTGATACCGCGCCGGCGCCGGAGGCCCAGTCCGAAGTGGACTCCGCTGCTGCGGATACTACTGCCGACACTACTGCTGCTGCTGATAATGCTGCTTCTACAACTGCAGATGTGCCTGCCCCGGCCGCGCAGTCGGAGGTTGATTCGGGTTTGTGCAACTTGGTTCCCAAGATAAGACACTAAACACCCAAATCGATTTCTTGGAACAGCCACTTCCGCTGAAGTCGAGGCAACCTCTGCCGCCGCCACCGCGGCTGCCACCACTACTTCTTCCGGCAGCACTGAGGACATCGCAGACTCCAACATCCCCACTGTCACTGCGACCGGCACTCCGTCCACTAATGGTTGCAACGCTAGCAACTTGGATGTTTGCGCCACTCTTGCCGAGGGCGACTACCAGTCTGCAGACGAGGCAGCTGCATCCGTTGGTTCCGATTTCAATCAAGCATGTCTCGATCTTAACAACCACTCGCGCAAGTTCTACGGAAACCCAAATCCGTACGTTGTTTGGAACGAAGGCCTAGCCAACTGGGCTGTGGTTTCCGCGGCGTACGCGAACACTCTGCAAGTTTACGATGCACACTCGTACTCTGGCGGTAGCTACCCGTGGGGACAAAATTTATACGTTGGCGAAGCCACATGTGCCGAAGCTTACTACGGATGGGTCACCTCGGAAGCGTTGGGCGGTGGTTCAACGGAGAATGGACACTTCTTGAACCAAGCCGGATGGGTAAGTTCCGATGGAAGTGCCTACACTCAGATTGGGTGCGGTGCATACGGCGACACCATTGTCTGCAACTACGGCCTGTCTGATGTTTCTGATGCACTTGCAAGCATGCCAACTGATTACGTCACTGCACTGGCTCTTGCCCTGGAAGGCATTGTGTACTCGTGATTTCATGCCAAGCAAGAAAAAGTCTCGCTTCTTTTTCCTGACAATCTCCTTTTTTTCTATCTTGCTTTCTCGATTGCTTTTTTTGGTTGGGTTGGGCTGGTATGGGCAAGAAAGAGGTTTTTGTGTATTTCTAGTTTTGAGCTTGGGGATTTCGTCCCGTTTGCCTGAGCTTCCGAATACTATTCTATCGCGATCTTCTGAATATAGATATTAGTGCCTCCCCCCCCCCCCCCCCCTCCCCCTTCCCATTTGCTTATTATCAAACTCGTGAACGAGATTTGAACAATGTTGTTTCATCTTCTCGCAATATTCTTCTACCAGTAACACCTGATCGAAATGAACCGGCCGGGCAATCGTTTGAAACAGGTAAGGTCTCGCTGCGTATTGTTATTCGGGCAAACACTGCTTCGCTTGGCGTTGCTTTCCTCCTCATCGTTGTCGCCCACAAGACGGACAACCATCGTAGCGGCACGGTCGCGCATCGAAGCGCGACGAGTCGCTTTACAGCGACAGTTTGTCCACAAGACGGAGCACTCGTGAGTCGAAGGCGGCACGCGCCTGGGCAACCTTTACATATATATCGACAAAAAAATTGCTTGGTAGCCGGACGACAGCGCGTGGACTATGCAGTCGCCAAACTAGCGAAAGTTAAAGTTTGTGGAGACTTCAGAGAAGCACAGTGATGCTCATCATGATTCCAATGTTCATCGAACAAAACAACTGTTCATTTATCACAGCGCTCAAAGAGAGAGGTCTAAAAATTCAACAGAAAATCGTACTAACCTCTTAGAACAAAACTAAAAACACCAAAAAGGACACCGGGAAATCATAACAAGGCTTCTAGTCAACAATCCCCTCAAGAGCCAGAGCGAGAGCCGACGCGTAGTCGATAGGCATGCTTGCAAGTGCTCCGGAAACGTCCGAAAGACCGTAGTTGCAAACAATCGAGTTTCCATAAGCGCCGCATCCAACTTGTGTGTAAGCATTTCCGTCGGAGCTAACCCAGCCAGCTTGGTTCAAAAAGTGTCCGTTGGCATTTGAGTTTGCAGACAAAGCCTCAGAGGTGACCCATCCATAGTACGCATCAGCGCAGGTGGATTCTCCAAGGAACAAGTTTTGGCCCCAAGGGTAGCCGCCGCCTGAGTAGGAGTGACCTTCCCAGTCGTTCATAGTAAGAGCATAAGCCGCAGAAACAACTGCCCAATTTGCCAAATCCTCATTCCAGGTGAGGTAAGGATTTGGGTTTCCGTAAAACTTTCGCGCATGGTTGTTGAGGTCCAGACAAGCCTGGTTGAAATCAGAGCCAACAGACGCGGCGGCTTCATCAGCAGACTGGTAGTCGCCGAGAGCGAGCTCTGCACAAACAGCGAGATTTTGGGCATTGCATCCGTTAGTAGACGGTATGCCAACATCTATCACTGATGGGATGTTGGGGTCCGCAATGTCGCCAACAAAGGCTGTAGCAGCGGCGGCTTGTGCAGCGCTGGTGGCAGGAACAACAACAGCGGTTGTGGCCGCTTGTATTTTCAAGGAGATCAGGCAGAGTTCGAAGGCCAAAAAAAAAAGGACTCACGAGCATCCACCGCAGTCTGGGCCTCGGGAGCAGGGGCGGGGGCGTCTGCAGTAGTGGCAGGATCGGATTCGGCAGCAGTGTCAACGGCGGCGGCATCAACGGCGGCCTGGGCCTGCGGGGCCGGGGCAGTGGCGGGGAAGGAATCTGTGGTGACTGGTACTACATCGTACTGGAAGTTGGAATTGAAACGGGAATGAATGGAATCGGTTGGCGGGAGGTTGATGGGTCACGCAGGGGGCGCTCACTCACGGCTGGCGCGCACTTCTTTGCGGCAGAGACAAACGAGGCGCTGGCAGTGGCAAGCAGGGCGACGAGGGTGGCGTGCTTCATGGTGGTGGCTCTAATCTCTGGCGGATGAAACAGGCGCCACGACGGTGCTTGCAGGCTGGCGAGGCGGTGGAGTGGAGCGAGCAGCACAAACAAACAACTCTGCTCATTATGTACTCCATCCAAGAAAACTTTCCGTAAAAATTTTAATGGATCTTGCAACTAATCACTCACGCCGCCCCGGTTCCCGTCGATTCAATCGGCCCCTCCCCCAAGACTTCAACTTCCTGCAGTTTCCCAAAATAAAAATGGCTCTCCTTTTCAACCAGCAGGACGGCACTCTTCACCTCCTCAGCCTGGGCAGAAACACCAACGAGCCTTTGTTGGACCTCAACAAGGGCTCCAGCATCATTCGATACTCGCGTACCGTTTGCTATGCGTGTGGTAGGTGTCGAGGGTGTTGTTGTTGCGGTAACCACTATGCCAGCAACTGCAACATTTCAAAGAGTTTTGTTGGGTGGAGCCTCAAGCGAATTCTTGGAGGCGACAGGTTTTGCGGACGAACTTACCAGGCGCGCCATTGCGTCGTGTGTTCCGCCGGGGAAAGCGTATGTCCCAATGTCTAGTTGGAGTAGAATAAACGTGAGAAACATAATATTTATAAAATTAGTCTCACTTCTTCACAAATTTTAAAAAACCGAGGTCCTCCTGAAATTTGAAGTTTGCGATGTATTCATATTCCTGATGAAGCTCTCGGACAAAACATAAGAGAGAACAACATCCAAAAATCCCGTTTCGCGTTGTACCGCAGAGAGAGGAACCTTCGAAAGGAATTCGTTTGACATCATTAGGAACCAGAAGAATCTACTCCTAGTACATCCAAATCAATAGAATCCATAACTGCATAGTGAGCGGCGTCCGTACCGCATTGCTAGATTTTGGAATAAAAAACAAGTTGCACAAAACGTTAACCTGCAGGGGAACGCTACGTGAGCGCTGCCTGCGTGTGCGTAGGCGTTTTATTCACCCAGACTAAGAGCTCGGCCCTACTTTCGCTCATTCTTGGTTTTTTCAGTTAAGGTTTTTTTTTTTTTTTTTTTTTTTTCATCAGGCCGCAAGGTGTATTGCATGGCCGACGACACTCGAGGTCTGTTCGTGTTGGTAGGTGCGAGATTGAGAGAGAGAGAATAAGAGTGGTTGCCTCGAGAAAGGCCATGCATCCGAGAAGGAAATTCAGGTAAATTGATTACATTATTTCGCTTTTTTTTTGACTTTT